CTTTCCAGGTCCCTCTATGCTGTCGCAGAAGCTAAGATTTCTGTTGTATTTTTTTTCCTTACTTTATTTTCTTAGCCAAAGGGCAAGAAACCATGGTGGTCTCTGCAGCACAGCCCATGCCTCTCGCTCAGGAGACAGTGTTCTTGACAACTCCCAGCTTGCACACTCGGCTGTGTCTGCCTGCCACGTGGGGTGCAGACCACCGCTCGAGTCCCACCCTCTCTCCCTCCACCTGTCATTTCAGGAGTTTTCGTGAACGAAAGAAACAGTACCCTAAGGCTGAATTTTAATAGGTACCAAAAAAGAAAAGGAAAAAAAAAAAAGCCATCACCAATCAGTAAGTCAAAATAAGCAAAAAGGGGCATCTCCCACAGAGGGGTGGTTGAATATCTAGAAATGGCTTAGCATGAGGGTTTTCTGAATGGCTAACTTGAGGTCTTCCTGAATACAGATGACTGGGTTAGAATTGTAGACTGAGGCAGAAAGAGGTCAACGAAGGGCCTTCCGCTGCATTTGTTTAATCTGGTACACATCGATGCTCTCTGGAATTAGGGCTGTTTTGCACGTGCTCAGTCTCAGAAGCGGTTTATGGTGCAACTGAGACCCTGAATGTTCCTGAGAAGCTGTCACAGCATACGGTCTTTGGCCCCTGAACTCGCCTTATCCTGTAATTACCTATGTTTACTTCCTTCCTCTTTTGGGCCGGCCCTTTGTGGAACATGGCACACCACCCCCAACCCTTGCAGCTGCTGTGGGTGCCAGGTGCAGGGTGTGAGGGTGTAGATCACAGTGGCCACCCAGGCCTCTGCCACAGAGCACAATGTCCCATTGCTCATCAGCCAGCTGCTCTGCCTGAGACAGGGACTTCCTATAGGTTACCTGGGGCTCCAGGTGGAATCTCAGGCCTTTCTGAATCACAGTTGGGGGTCGCTGTGGTTCCTCTCCCTCCTTCCCCGTGTGTGGACCCTGTCCACCACCTGTGCCCTCTCCCCTGTGAAAGGGTCCCTCCGGCCTACTTGCATTCCTGACAAGGAGGACGTGGGGAAGGAGAGTGCAGAATACAAGGGGGAACCTGCACTCAGGAAGAAGAAGGAGAGCCCAGCAAGGAAGAAGTGGTTGGTGAGAGATCAGCCGAGTGCCTGGTCCAGCACTGGTCACCGTCACAGGTCACCTTACCTGGCCTGGCCCGGCTGTGGCGCTTACTCCCTTCTGTGGGTCTGCCCGTGAACCCAGACGTATGGGCGCACACCTCCACTCAGGCGTGCAGCCCGTGGCCCTTCTCTGCTTGCCGTGAAATCTGCCAGCACACTCCTGATGGAAGGAAAGAAAACAACCACCTCTTCCAGGCTGAACCTAGTTGCCTTGTTAACAAGACTGCAGCTCCCAGAGCAAACTAGAAGGGAGAAGACTGGGATTTGCCTCAGGTGTGCGAGGTGGGCTCCCCAGCCCTGGTCCACCCTTGGGGTACCCAGCTCATTCTAGGACCTCCTCTCAGCACAGTCCCCAGGAGCACCTGGGTGCCCTGTTCTATAGAACTTTATCCAGTGAGTTTTAAATACTCTTTTTGGCTCAGAGAGGGTTATCTGATTGCATGGCATAGGATCTCACCAAAGCTATGTCCTGTGCCTCACAGTACGAGTGACATAAGTGTCAGGCACCCCGCGCTGAGCTGCAGGAGGGCTGGGGGGGCTGCCTTGACATTCCACGGCTGCCTTTCTGCCTGTGCATTAAAACCCGATGGAAAATTTCTCTCCACATGCACTTTGACTCGAATTAGCCAGAATATTTTGTTGACTGAGGTAATGAGTTTCAACCCGTAGTCAGACCCTTCTGTCCGGTGTGCCCAGGGCGAGGCCAGGGCCTGAGTGCAGCCGAGAAGACGGCCCGACACCCTGCAGGGCAGGGCAGAGGGCACGGCCGGGGACTTCACTGAGAGGGAAGAGACCAGAGACGTGAATGAAGCATTTTAAGAAAAGCCCAGGAAGACTGTGTGAGGACTCTGTGAACGAGGGACTGATAACAAGGAAGGAGAAATGTATACTTTTTGTAAACATGCACCCACCCAGCCTACCTTTTGTGTGCCAGGGTCTCTGGACAAAAAATTAAATGTAAAATTATGTCATAAATGGGCTACTGTTAGAACAGGACCTGGTATATAGTCTGTGCCCTGTGTTTGTTAAATAAGAAGTTCTAAATGACCAAAAGCATAAGTCAGTGGGGTAGACAGTCAGCTAGCAGGCATGTCTAGTCCCAGCCACTGGGGCAGATGTCTCAAAGAGTTACAGAAGAATGAGGAGAGGGGGAGAGTGTCCAGCTAGGGGGAGCAGAGCCAGCTGCATGGAGAGGCAGCCCTGGGCGAGTGATTCTGGCATCCAATCCCTTGTCACTTTTCTGGACCATGGCCGTAGCCTCCCTCGTCAGCTCCCCAGCCAGATGTATTCACAGCCTCCAGATGTGCCCCTGGATTAACCCCTCAAGGCTCCCCACGTGCACAGGAAGAACGCCTGAGGGACCCCTTTCACCCCCGCTGCTTGCACCTTTCCCGGCGGCCTGCAGGCCGCCCCCCCTCCACCTGCGAGGCCTCTTGGGTTTGCGCTCCTCCTCCAGGTCCCAGCCCGGACAGCATCCTCAAATCTCCACTAGCGTCAGGGCTGTGTTCGCATAGCACTTTATACAGTCTAGCATTTCCCAGTTTCCACCATGGTTACTTAGTCCCCCCCACTAGACTTCGAGCTATGTGGAGGAAGGGTGGGAGGGAAGAAGGGGAGTGGAAATGTCGGGCTGTGTCTGAGAACAGAAAATAGGGCTAGATTATACATTTGAAAGCAACCCGAGCACATCTGAGTGTTGAAATCAGGAGTGGAACAGAGAGACATTTTGGGAAGAAGAGAGAAAGGCTGGGGGTTGGGAACAAGGAAGAATCGCCAGATTCAGGAGCCAGAGACTGGCAGGGACCTGGAGAGGAAGCACCCAGGGAGGACAGGCCACCTAGAGTGACTGTGTGGTCATATCGGAGCTGCAGGGGGTAAGCATGTTGAGGGTGGAGAAGGACATCAGTAATAATGGTCCAGTGGTTGGGCAGGTAGCAGTGTTCATGTGTGGCTGGGAGGAATTAGCTGAACAGACACATGCAGAGGCCCTAGAGTTGAGGGTGGAGGGGAATGGGGAGCTGGGGCTTCAAGGAGATGGTGAGCTTCAGGGGAGACTTTTTTTTTTTTGAGCTGTAGGAGACCCAAGAATAATGCAAAGTAGCAGGGAAGAGAGAGCCTGAGAGGCAGGAAGGGACAAGAGATGAGTCTGAGATGGAGCAGGGTGCCCAGGGGACAGTGGGGTGAAGGCCTCAGGGAGCAGCCAGAAGAGCAGGAGCCGTGCCCAGCTGCCCAGGCCAAGGAGAGGTCAGTGTGCGAAGCCCAAGGTCCTTCTGGGTGGGAGACAGAGGTTCTGGGGCAGTGCTGCTGTCCCTCGTCCTCGCCTGGTGACCAAGCGACTGAGAGAAAAAGACTCCAGGTTGAACTGAAGGCAGAAACAGAAACAGGAATATTCCGTACACACCAGAGCGAGGGAGGCGCATTTCAGACCATGGAGAATGGCAATGCGAACCCCTCTTGGACATCGGCCGTGACAGACGCCGCCTTCACCTGGCTGATGCGCTCAGCGTGGGAGGGAAAGGGCCGCCGGCGCGCGGCGAGTCTGTGCGCGTGTGCTGGGGCGCACGTGTGGGGACACGCGGGGCTCGCGGGGCGGCGTTCGCATCTCGTGTACTTTGAGAGAGGACTGCTGAACTGTGAGAGGCCACTTATTTTATCCGTAGGTTTCCCTGAAAACAGTATGATTGCTTCTTTTTCCTGTTGATGAAAGTAATACATTCTCATCGTAGAAAGTATGAAAATACAGAAGAATTCAAAAGGAATGGGGCAAGGGGACGGACTTGCTGTCTTACCCCCGGGGACAAGCACGGGGACAGTGGCAGGAGGTTCAGCACACAGCTCGGCCTTAACTGCCTTAGGGTCTCCCTCTCACTGGGACCCTAAGGAGGACGCCTGGGGCTGTTCTGGGCGTCATTCTTTACAAATGGAAGGGCATGCTTACAATAGTCAAATTCTTTTGTTAATCCTTATCCAGGGATATTTTTTTCATTGATTTTTATAGAGAATGGGAGGGGGAGAGAGAGAAACATCATTTTGAGAGAGACACATCAATGGGTTGCCTCCTGCACACACCCCAAACGGGGCTGAGGATCGAACCTCCAACCCAGGTACATGCCCTTGACCGGAAATCAAACCCACCACCCTTTGGTGTGCAGGCCAACGCTCTAACCACTGAGCATATTGACCAGGGTGCAATGTTTTTTTTTTTAATCCTCACCCGAGGATATTTTTTCATTCATCTTCAGATAGAGTATGGGGTTGGGGGTGGGGAGAGAGAGAAACATCAATGCAGGAGACACATCAACTGGCTGCATGACCTCTACCAGGGCTGGGGACGAACCGCAACCAAGGTACATGCCCTTGACTGGAATCAAACCTGCAACTCTTTGGTCCACAGACTGATGCTCTAACTGCTGAGCCAAACCAACCAGGGCCAGGGTGCAGTTTTTTAAAGAAAAGAGAATAATAATGTGTCTGCAACTTCTAAACAAATCAGGAAGTATGTATTAGTCCATACTGACAGGCTTATACTACAGACATCCTATCTATTTTGTGTACTTACTTTTACATCATTCCAGGGAATATCCCGTAGGAGGAAGTTGGCTCTAAAATGTGTGTATAGGAACAGTTGCAATTTTTATGGCTCAGACTAGAGGAGCATAATCTCTTTGGTGCACCCTTAAATGAGAAAACAAAATCCCCTAAAGAAAAGTAATAGTCTCCCCAGAGAGGCTCCCAGACGTCCTTCCCCTCCCGCTGGCCCTTGCTCCCCTCGCCCCTGCACTGTGTCCTCTGTGTGGGAGGCTGAAGAGGGACTAGGACTGTTTTGACAACCTGTGTCTCTGCCCACAGAGAAGGGGCTGCCTCCCTCAGCAACGGGGCGTGGAGCCAAGGGCCAGCCCGGGCCGCCCTGGATCACCATCACTCCACAGAAGTGGCGAGGGGCCCCAGAGCAGCCACCTGACCAGGAGGACAAGCCTGGGGTTCAGACCCTGAAGTCTGAAACAGGAAAGCCAGCCAAGGCACCCAAGAGAGCCCAGGTGGGTACTTCGAGTAAACCCTTCCTGTCCCTATAGATGTGGTAGTGGCTGGGGTTAGGCTGAGACCCCCCAAGGACCACAGGTCCTGCATGGTCATCACAGAGCCTGAGGCCTGTGAGGGTGGCTGCTGTCTGCCCTTGGCGTGTGCTGGGCTGCTGGGGAGGCAGAGAAGAGTGGAGATGGCTCTCTGCTTCCTGCTTCCTAGGCAACGCAGCATCTGGAGAAATGGAACAGGGTTCAAATAACTTCTCACTTAGACACAGCAACCATGTCCAAAGCTCCATCTCAGCTCACTCCGCAGTGATGGATCAGCCCTGCTTTTGCCTCGGGGCTGGATGCCTGCTGGGGTTCCTTCTCCCCACTCAGGGCTGCAGGGCTGGAACCCAGGGTTCCATTTTGAAGTCTGGACTGCAAATAGCTTTCTCAAGCCCAAACAATGGTGCTTAGAAGCAGGCTGAGAATCACGGCGTTTGTGCTCCCCCGACCGCCACCGAGGTGAGCCCACAGACTGTTTCAGCCGTGTGAGGTGGTGAGCTTGAGCCTACAATAAGACCTGCTTCCATTCATTTTCACCCAAACCTCAGCTGTCCCCGCACCTGAAACTCTGCATACAGACAATTACAGAACAAATACCAACCAGTGAGCTGGCTTGGGGCACCCGTGAGCATACCAAGTGTCACAAAAACCTAAAAACTATTTCCAAACGCAATTCATTTTGACTTTCAAATGGGATCCCTGCTGTCCAGTATCTGGGGCTGAGGCCAGGGCGGGGACAGGGCAGAAACCGGGACGCCTGTGTGTGCCCAGGAGAACCACACTGTTCTGAAGGCTGGAGCCAGGTGTGCACAAGCAGACCTCCTCCGAGCAGGTACCAGCCGCGCGTTTCCTGTTGGCAGGCCTCGTGGCCTGCTGCCTAGGGCTCTTCTTGTACCCATCTGAACCGCGGTGACCCAACAGCATGTCTCTCTCTTATGTCCTGATAGGAGCCCATGAAGCAAGCCGACTTTGTCCGCAGCAAGTCTTTCCTGGTCGCCCCGGCTAAGCCCACTGTGGACCGAAGGCAGGCGACAAAGCTCGGCCTCCAGGAGGGGCTGCAAAGAGGGATCTCTTTGTCCCATCAGAACTTGGGTATGAAACCTGCAGATAGTCTCAGACACTCTGAATGTGTTTCTGAGATGGGTCGGAAACATATTTTTTGTTTTGTTTCTGATTTATTAGACACATTGATTTGTTAAAATAGCTTTGATTGAGATATCATTTTCCTGCCATAAAACTCACCTGTGGTAAGTGTACATACAGTTCAGTGAGTGTATTGAATTGGCAATGAGCATATGCTCACTGAGCTGTACAACCATCCAGCTCAGTTTTAGAGCCTCACCCCGAAAAGCGTCTCGTGCCCTTGTACCGTCATTCACCGCTCCCAGCTCTACGCAGCCACGAATCTACTTCCCGTCTCTCCATCTAACTTTCGTGGACATTTCTTGCCCACGGAATCACGAAACGTGCGTTCTTTCGTATCTGGCTTCCACTGAGCAGTCCGCTCTGTCACTCCATGTGTCAGCACTTTTTACATTTCTTTCTAATTAGGGTAAAACACATAACAAAACTTACCATCTTAACCATTCTTAAGTGTGCAGTTCAGTAGTGTTAAGAATACTCATGCCCTGGCCCTGGCCGGTTTGGCTCAGCGGTTGGAGCGTCGGCCTACGGTACAGAGAGACCCGGGTTCGGTTCCCACTAAGGGCACATGCCTCGGTTGCAGTTTGTCCCCGGCCCCGGTTGGGGTCGTGTGGGTGGCAACCCCTTGATGTATCTCTCTCACATCCATGTTTCTCTCTCTCTCTTCCTCCCTCTCTCCCTGAAGATGAATGCAAAAATGTCCTCGGGTGAGGATAAAAATAAATAAATAATAATTAAAAAAAAAAGAATACTCACACTTGTACTCACCAGTCCCCAGAGTGCTGCCTTTTTATTATGGAAGTTTCTCTCTCCTCACTGCATGTAAGCCTGCCTGACAGTCTTTTTATTACAGAAGTTATTCTGTGCCTAAATCTTCTTTACCTTTTTGCACTGTAAGGGTGTCATGTTTGAGACCACAGTTAAGACCTTGATAGGTATTTTAAAGAAATGCAAGGGGCTTAAGTGAAAATGTACACTGCTCACGTTTCTGTTTGTTTTGTCCCCTTCCCAGCAGCTCAGGCGGCAGTGGTGACGGAGAGGGAGTTGCATCAGCTGAAGCGGGCCAGCTATGCCAGCACAGATCAGCCGTCCTGGATGGAGCTCGCCAGAAAGAAATCTCAGGCTTGGAGTGACATGCCCCAAATTATCAAATAGGTTGACAGCGTGCTGGTAAAAAATGTCCACCACCTTGACAGGTCACTTAGGGGAAAACTGCCACTAAAGGCAAACACACTGAAACTTCAGAGTGATTTTTATCATCAGGTTATGGGAGGGCGAGCTTGGGGAAGAACGAACCAGGCAAACAAGGAAGACAGACACACAGCCACAGTCCTGGGCCGGCCGTGCCCGAAAACAAGAACACCATTGAAAAGGGCCAGGAACAAGGCCTGTGCCCAAAGGTATGAATGTGAGTCTTTCAGAATTCCCTTGATCAAAGGGCCTCCGACAAGGAAGAAGAAGGAAGCGCATGCACAGCTAGGACGTGGAGAACGTGTGTCTGTGCCTCCACGTGAGAGCAGCTGTGTCTGTGGTCGTCGTCTTGCCTGTGGCCCTGTCTTCTCTCGTGTTTACTTTTGGGCATGACATTTATGGTAAGCAGGGATGCCGCTTCCAAGAGCAGCTGTAAAACAGTTAGCCTTCCTGAAGATAGTCACTCTGCGAAGGGGCGGAAAGAACACAGCAGGGAGCATCAACCCGTAGACTGTTTCCAAAAATAATTTTTAAACTTTTCCACTAGGCATCTGTGTCCTTAACCATTGCACAATGCATTGCCTGTTCAATAAAAGGTTTCAAACATGCTCTGTCATATGTGTAAAAGTTATTTCTACTCACGTTTAGAGAACGTCCTCCAGCACTGAGTTAAATGCAAATCATAGAGTTTCGCTGAATATATCTCTCATTTAAAGTCTCCATTGAATTGATTTTGAAGTTTGGATTTTTCTTAGACTCTTTTTTCTGCAATAAAATGTTGCTGTTTATTTTTGGAAATTGGGAATTAATACAGAATTTTTTTTCCTCTTCTCATATATTTAGTACAACATATAAAAAAATACAAAGTGTCAGTCCTGGCCGGTTTGGCTCAGTGGTTGGAGCGTCGGCCTGTGGATCAGAGAGTCCTGGGTTCGGTTCCCGCTAGGGGCACACACCAAAAAAACAAACAAACAAAATACAAAGTTTTCACCAAGCTGGTGTGGCTCAGTGGTTGAGCATCAACCCATACACCAAGAGGTCACCGGTTCGATTCCCGGTCAGGGCACATGCCCAGGTTGTGGGCCTAATCCCCAGTGGGGGGCCTGCAGGAGGCCACCAGTCGATGTTCTCTCTCATTGATGTTTCTATCTCTCCCTTTCCCTTCCTCTCTCTCTAAAATCAATAAAGAAAAAATTAAATTAAATTAAAAAACACAGAGTTTTCCAAAATGTTACAATTCTTTATTATCTAATTAATCTAACCTGCATATTACTATTAAAAATTAGGTTTTAGCCCTGCCTGTATGTCTCAGTGGTTGAGCATGGGGGTGGTTGATGGATGTTTTCTTTCATTGATGTTTCTCTTCTTCTCCCTTCCTCTCTTAAAAAAAAATAAAAAATCAATAAGGAAAAAATTTTTTTTTCATAAAATCAAGGTTTTATTGTTTTTTCTTTATTGATTTCAGAGAAAGAGGAAGGGAGAAGGCGAAAGAGATAGAAACATTGATGAGAGAGAACATTGACTGGCTGCCTCCTGCATGCCCCCTATGGGGGACTTGGCCCACATCCTGAGCATGTGCCCCCAACCAGGAATCCAACCGGCGACCTCTTGGTGCATGGGTCGACACTCAACCACTGAGCCACACTGTCCGGGCTAAAAACTAGGTTTTAAATGCATTAGCCAGGATGACCCATGAATGCAAAATGTGGAGAAGCCAGCAGAGAAAGAGCATATATTTTTGGATCTCAGAATCGTGTCTCAGTTATATAACACCTCTATTTTTAAAAAAACATTTCCAATTTGTTCTTTTGAACAAGCTAATCTCCATGGGAATATGTATATAACTGGGAACATTTAGCTATCAAAATCAGTAAGACCTCATATATAGTATAATTTGATTTTCTATATGCTAATTATTGTATTTTTCATCTTCATGATAATTATTTTTCTAGCTGTTAAACTACACAATTTAATTATGTCTACCTTTATTGAAATTGTCCTGGGGTAGTTTTTATCCCTCAGCCCAAATGATTTATTAATTGCACGGTGTTCGTATCAGTACTGAATGCCATGGGGAATGGGCTCTGAACAAGATCTCCATCCATCTATCCTTGCTGTGAAAGCTTAGACAGGAATAGACTTCTCTAGGAAGAAGTTCGTGTTGGCTATTATTACCCCAAACCATCGTTTCTCCCTAAGACCACAGGGACTGTCTCCAGCTCGAGCAAGGCTGCCGGTTTGAGGCTAACAAGGCTTCATCCACACTGAGGAGCCGCTGCTCATCGCCTTCACAGCAGGGAAAGCAGCGAGGACACACAGGCTGAGCTGACAGAGGTGCCCCTGCGATTCTAAGAAAAAATGCGCCCAGTGAGATGGGTCCAGATTTGCATCGGTTTGAAGTGGAAGATGAGGAAGAGAGAAATGGACAGGCAGCAGTCTTAGTGTTGGATCCCAAGAGAATCGGCAGGGAAATAGTCCTGTGGCAGCTGCGGTGGCTTTATGCCACAAATTCTTGGAAAGTCCTCCCTTCAAAAAGTGGAGCCTAATTTGCCTTCCCTGGTCGTGAGACAGATTTTATGCTCTGAATGTAGCAGAAGTGACCCGTGTGGCTTCTGAAGTGAGGGGGTGAAAGACGTTGCTGCCCGTACCCTGCCCTCCTTGGGCGGTCCTCTCGCAGGGAAGTTGGTCTCCAGGGCTTGAGGAAGCCATCGCAGCCTATGGGAAGGCCCAGGGGGAAAGAACTGAGACCTCCTGATATGGGCTAAATTGTGCACCCCCTGCCCCCCCCACACACACGTACAAATTATATGTTGAAGTCCTAACCCCCAGTATTTCAGAACATGACTGTATTTGGAGACAGGGCCTTTAAAGAGGTAATTGAGTTAAGGGAGATCATTAGGGTGCACCCTAATTCAGTATAGTCCTATTCTTGTGAAAAGGAATTTGACACGGAGGCACACAAAGGGAGACCATGTGACAACGTGAGGAGAAGACACCCACATACCAGCCAGGGAGAGAGGCCTCAGAAGAAATCAACCCGGCTGACACCTTGATCTCAGACTTCCAGCCTCCAGAACTGTGAGACTACATTTCTGTTGTTTAAGCCCCAGTCTGTGGCACTTAGTTATGGCTTCGGGAGCACACTCATACACCCCCTATCAATCAGCAGCACCAACTTGCCAGCCATGTGAACGAGCCCCTTAGAACTGGCTCCTCCATTCCCAGTCAAGCCTTCAGATGAGTGCAGCCCAGCTGACATACTGATGGTGACTCCATGAGAGATCCCAGGCCAGACTGCCCAGCCAGGCTGCTCCTAAACTGACCCACTGAAATGGTTAGGTAACAATGTTTGTTATTGTTTTAAGCCACTAAGTTTTGGAGTAATCTTTTACTTAGCAACAGGTACCTAATACGGTAGTTTTGTGTTCTTTTTCTAGGTCCAAAAGTGAAAAGGCCTTACTTGTTTTTTTCATGATTATTTCACGTGGGGTTAAGAACCTAACCATATGCACAGTATGAGATATATTTATTTAACACCTGCCAATCACAGTCTGTCTGAGGTTGTGTGGCAGAGCTAGCTAGGGGCGTACACCGAAGACCTGTCATCACCTCGCATAGTGTGGAGTTGTTTCTGGAAGCAGATGTCCCACCAGAGACGACATCTCCAGCTGCACCCACTCCCACCCAACCCACACCCCTGCCTATATGTGGGCTCCTGTCACTGAGTTCTGGCTGATGGACTGAGAGCAGAGATGATGGGCACCCCACATACAAAGTTCTGCCTTTCTAGAGAGGGACCAGGGAAGCATCCAAGAGGACAGGAAATGCCCTGTGGACGAGATTTCAGAGAAAGGAGATATTTAGCTCAGAAGGCCACGGGAGGGTGGGAGAAGTTCCTTCAGGTATTTGAAGAAAGAAGAGAATTGACTTATTCTATGTAACTCCACAGGGAACAACCAGGACCAGAAATGAAAGTTCCAAGGAAGGACAGGGACATGTTTTACCTATTAGGATTATCCAGCATGGGACAGGATGCTGGTCAGGAGTGAGCTCTCTGACACTAGAGGTGAGCAAGCTGTGGAGGTTGAATTGCCATCCCTTTGGCCCTGGAAAGGATTCTGGGCTGGGTGACTGATCCAGAACGGAGCTACTCTGGATCTAAAGGCAGGGCCTTTTGCATTCATTTTTTAATGTAATTACATTACATGGCTCTTAATACTAATTATAACTGAGAAGCAGCCATCCAGAAAATGATCTAAATGGGCTTTTATGCAGAATGTGGTTGTCCAGAGTGCTTTGAAAGCTCTTTATTACCAGGAGAAGGAAGCCAGACAGAAGCAGCCAGTCAGCAGATGGCCTTCCCAACCCCCCTCTACAGTTATACGTGAGGGGGGAAGGGTACAGAGTTGCTTCCCCAGCCCCGACCCTGAATCTTCTGGTTGGTTCTACTGAAATCCCTCGCAGAGGGAAATATTTATTTATTCCCTGGTAGACAAAAATAATCTAATGAATAGGCTTATTAGGACAAACTAGCAGAAATAACACAGGCTGAACACAAGCGTTTGGGGTAAGAGCTCAGGCAGCGGCTGACATTTGCTTTACGTGCATTGTCTAGCTTCCTTCCTGCCTTCTCCACAGGGACATCGTTGCTAGCATGGAAGTCAAGGAGAGCTGTTTGTGATGCCCAGAGGATTATTAATGACCAACACAGGCTGGCTGAGGGGCGCGCTCCCATCCAGAGGGCACCCGAAGCATTGCAGAGGCCGAGGCCCGCGGCCTGCATGCCTACTATCCCATTGCAGAAAAACAGAAATTCAACATTTAGCCCACTATCCAGCAAAGAACAAGTTGCCCCTGAAAGATTTTCCCACAGGAATAAGAATTTTGGTATAAACAGAGGAAATGAGGGGTAAACCACTAGGGAGTCCTTTGGACAAAATAAACCACATCTTTCAGAAGCTGAAGCCTTTTAAACTCAGGTACTCCATCTTTCTTCCCAAGGGAAGGCAAGGAGGGAAATGATCAGATTGTTTTCACTATTGCTCACCCCACCTCATCTATCATGTTCTCTGTAAAGACTGGCACATCCCCCGGGGGCTCTGCCCAGGCCCCACGAGGCCAGAGCAGGAGGCAGAGTGCGGATGCCCACTACCACGCTGAGGGGAGGGCAGCCCTCCAGAGCCCCAGCCTTTCATTGCCCTGTCCTCTGGGAGCACTGTCCTCCAGCGTTGCTGACATGCTTCACGAAATGTTTATGACGGATGTGGGGCTAGGCACAAAATTAATTGTGGCCAAGTTGGGAGCTGGCTTTCTTGGCAGTGGCTGGAGCCAGATATGTCTTGGGGCACCTGGGGACCTTGGATGTTCCAGAAGCTCCCGCCCTCACAGGCTGTGGTTCTGTACCTCGCCGGACAGCTCTGCGTTGGCTGTAGCAGGTTTCCGGAGCTCTCGTCTCGTCCCACTGGGTGCTGGGCTTCCAAGCATTCACAGGCTTGTGCCCCC